CGACAAGTTGGTGCAGCGAGCAACCTGAACGCTCAATGTACACCAAAACACAGGATTACTGGAAATAAATTGCACGATGCGTCATTTTGGCAACATGAGGGGTGCATAAATAAATTAGTGGTTGGCGGGTGACCTCACGGCAAACAGAGGTCGCGAACGAGGCATAAGACCTTCAGAGAACAAAGGGAGAAGAAATGTTACGGACTCAGCCAGGGCTTGATCCCTGGTCCGCGGGTTACCACCCGCCAAGCTGCTATTTTATTTTTGAGTCTCTGATATCCGGTTCCTGACTGTCGGCACCCTCTGCAGTTGACGCCCATTCTCAAATCCCTCCTCTGGCACTTTCGGATTTCGATACTTAGCGCTATCCAGCATTCTGGCGCCCAGGCTCAGACCTTCAATTCTCAGTTCAGCCCCGAGGCAAATTGCACTTCTGCCCTCGGACTCAACTTGAGCCCGGTACTTAGGACAGGACTCAAGCTGAGTCCGGCATTCAGTTTTCGGCCTCAGTGATTGTGCTTCAGTGTGACTTGCTGCGACATTGTGTTCGGAACCCAAGATTGCGACATTGTGTTCGGAACCCAAGATTGCGACATTGTGTTTGGAACCCAAGATTGCGACTTTGCGACTTTGCGACTTTGCCACTTTGTGTCTGCGTCCGTCGAGTCGTGTCGCGTCCGTGTTGAGTTGAGCTAGAGTGCGTGTGTGCTCTCCCTCTCTCCGTCTCTCTTCCCCGACCTCGCTGCTCTGCCTCAGTCCCGTCACAAGAAATGAACAACTAGCAAACCGTGTTACCTTCTTCCTCCCGGTAAAAGACATATTCTGATCCTTCCTCCCGGTAAAACACATATTCTGATCTGCACCTTGTACAGCCTTCAAACTGGATATAGCATACTTGTGTCCCATCGGGTGTGCGCCGCTTGCGCACGTGCAGCATTCAGCGCATTCGCACGAATGCGCTTGCACGTGATGCGGCGCACCCCGAAAAATAGGGGTTGGAAGAAAAAGGGGGAGGGGTGGGGCGTGGTAGCACACACTGCCCCCCCAATTGTAACAATGTTTGGTGGCAAAGGGGGAGGGGGGGGGGAATTGTGACCGCACTCAACTGCCCCCCCAAAATAAGTGTGTCTGTCGCAGCTTTCATGCACGTGGAATGTATTGAAGTACAATCATTATGAGTGTGCTCGGTGTTGTCTCCAATGGGAAGTTCCCGTTGAGACAGTCTTGTTTTTCTCTTTTCATTGCTGGTCTTTGTTTTGTTGTTTTGCTAAGAATCATGGGCAGGTCACAAGTCGCGCCAGTAGTTCCAGTCCGGGCATATTCATGCGCACCCAAAGTCCGAGTTCCTAGAGTGACCATGTTCCAAACCATGCTCGTAGGGCCTATTTACACGCCCCATCCAGTCTGAGTCTGTGCACGCTCAGAAAATGAAAAAGATAAAGAGAAAACAGCTCCTCCACTCATTAAACAGTCACTGACCCTCGTCGCATGGCACACGAGACGATAAAAGAACAACTGCATCTGCCAGGAGTGGTGGCAAGATACACTCGTTACTATTCCTAGTGAATGGGTGTCCAGCTTTTGTTTTTCTTTCTTCACATTTCTGTTGCCTTGTTGGCGAGGCCCATTACCTCCACCCTATGGTTGAATCTACTTTTCTGGTCCGATACAGTCATAATGAGGAGGGTTCGAACTTCGTGTTCGTTTTGTTTTTTTTGCAATCAGACTCGCTCTCATTCACACTTCGCATGCATGCAAACAGGTGCGCAGCAAACTGGCGACAAGCGCCCACTCAAAACTCAGAGATATGGCAACCAAAACGCAGCTCACATACAGCGCCCACACAACTCTCTATTTGCACACACAGGATCACCCTGGATATCCCACACACGATACTCTGTACACACACACACACACACACTGAACTCTATCTACAGCTATGGCGGCTGCTACCCTATCGCTATGGCTACGCTCCTCTCTCGCCCACTTCGTCTTCGGGCTCACTGCAGACCACCTAGCACAAGTCGCTGTGGCAGCGCTTCCGCATGGCTCACGCAGGAATGAATGAATGACTGGGCGCTGCCTCTTGATTTAAACTTCTGCAGCTCATTGGTCTGGCCCTTTCCCATGCCCGTAGTGCACACAGTCCCATGCGGTACTTGCTTGACTGGACTAGGACTGACTGGGACTGGGACTGCTGACTCAGCACGGGTAGACTCCACCACTTGCCCACTTGCCTCAGCCTAAACATGGGCAACTTCGAAAAGCCACTACTCGGACCTTCTGGAAGGCCATAGACTTGGCCTTTCGATACTGTAGCAGCTACGACCTTGACCTTTCGGGAAAGCTACAGCTACGACTTCTAGACCTGACTAAGACTCCTACTCGACAGGTCTACAGATCGAACCCCTGCTACCTATGGACCCTATGACAGTCTACCAACTCTTACAAATACGCAGGTCACGGGTTCAACTCTAGGGGTCGACACAGATACTGTACACAGGTAAGGTCGGGACTAGGGATCGAGCCCTGGGATCTGCATCGGCTACTGCGAACTGGTGAATACCGTTTCACTCCCGCCGGCCTAAATTCGGGGTCCTCCGAGAATAACTCAGTCCAAGGAAGGACCTTTACCTTTCTCATCTCTCTCGTAGGCTCTAACCATGTCGGGAGCTGTCTCTAGAAGTTCTGCTCTAGTGAACCAGCGGTCGTCCTCCGGTTCCTGATAAGCAAACCAGACCTTATACTGCTTCTGTGGACGGCCTCTACCTCCTGTTCTGAACACATATTCACCTACAATGCCATCAATGTCGTATCTCCCGTCCATGTCTGGGGGGATCATGGATCTCCTAGATGGAAACTGTCAACTCGTGACACACAGCAGTAACTTTGATGCATGAAATACAGGGTAGGTGTGGAGGTGTGCTGGGATCTCTATGGTGTAGGACAGGCCATCCTCTCCGCCCTTAACTTCTAGAACTGGCCACGGTCCCCTATACGCGGGCAGTAACTTCTGCGAGATGTTTTCCTCAGGAGCGAACTCTTTGGACTTGACCCAGACTAAGTCCCCTACTTGGAACTGTGACGGGCGACGGTGCTTATTAGCCTGTTCCATCATCCGGTGCTGGGCCTTCCTGAGGTTCTCAACAACAGTGGCTATCTCTCTTTCGTGCTGTATCGCGAACTCCCTAGTACCGGGCGGTAGCCTATGAATCTGATCCTGGTTAAGCCCTTCAAACGGTCTGCGCGGTCTAAAGGACTTGTGCAACTCATTGGGAGTGCGACAGGTGGACACGTGCACGCTGTTATTGTACGCACTGGCTACCGTGGGTAACATCTCGTCCCAGTTGATCTGGTTGGGTCTAGTGTACATACGCAGAACTTGCTGCAAGATCTTGTTCATCTGCTCAGTCTGACCGTTAGTCTCTGGATGACGGCCAGACGACATTAGCAGCTTGGACCCATAGACTTTCATCAGTTCCTGCCAGTTCTGGCTAGTGAAGCGACTATCTCTATCGCTAACTATAGACAACGGGACTCCATGCTCACTAATTCAAAAGTCAAAAAACTTCTGAATTACTAGCTCTGTACGGGCCTCTGCAGGCAAAGGAACAAAAACAACATATTTGCTAAATCTATCGACTATAACCATGACTTGGCTCTTGTCGCGCCTACTCTTGACCTGCGTATCCATAAAGTCAATGGACACAGAATCTCCGGGCTGGTCAGGAATAGGCAAGGGTCTGAGAAGACCTAGAGGGGCACGCGTAGTGCTCTTGTTTCTCTGACAAACTTTACAACTGCGGACATACTCTATGCAGTCGTTCTTCATTCCAGGCCATGTATACGCATGCATCAGGTTGGCTAGAGTCTTTTGCCAACCGAAGTGTCCCTCTGTGTCGTGGCATTCTCCTAAGATTAAGCTACGGATCTCCTCGCTGTTCGGGATGCACAAGCGATCTACTACATTAGTCTTCTCAAATAACAACCCCTCTGTAGTGCGATAATCTGGCTCGGTCTCTGGGGCCTCCTTAACCCTCTTGAGGTGGTCACTATAGATAGGGTCCTGCACATACGCCTGTCAAACTTTTTCCTGCAGGTCTCTCCCTATCTCCAGATAGTGAACTATAGCTCCAAAGTAGTCTGATCTCCTACTTAGAGCATCCGCAACTACATTGTACTTGCCTTTAACAGGCTTGAGCTCAAAGTCGTACCGGTCTATCTCAACGGCCTGTGTCTTCAGCCACGGAAGTGTCTCATGGTCTGAATACACCTTGAAGTTCCTCCCAAGCAGGTAATGCTTCGAGTGCTCTAAGGCCTGCCTGAGAGCGTAGAGTTCCCTCTCATATGTCGAGGTAGCGACCTTCTCTGAGGGCATCCTTGATGGCATAGACTCTATGGGTCTGTAACCATTCTCGTTGTCCTGCTGTAACACGACGCCCATTCCATACTGACTCGCGTCCGTGGTGACGACAAATGGCAAAGATGGATCTGGTACTTTGAGGACAGGGTACTCTATCAACGCGCGCTTCAACTTCTTTAGCGCAGACATACAGTCCTTATCCCATTGCCAGATTGCCTCTTTCTTGAGCAACCTGCGAAGGGGGGCGGCGATAGTCGAGAAGTTCCTCACAAACTTCCTATAGTAGTTAGCCAGACTTAGGAACAATCGCAACTCAGTCAGTGTGCGGGGCGTCGGCCAATCTCTAACCGCCGCTGTCGGAAGACGATGCGACGCGGCAACGGATGTTGACTCATTTTGGTCAACCTCCGCGCCGCGCCGAATCCGCGCCCTGGAACTGTCCACGACCGCAGTCAGTTAGGCTCTAGCGCATCAGTTGAAATTCCCCTGGGTCGAAGTCACGAAAGGGACGGCGCGGCGGTACAGCCCTTTGGAGGCCTGATCATCCCCTGTGGACCGAACCGTCGCGACCGTGAGGGGCGAATTAGTGAGTCCCGATCCAAGCGACACTTGAAACGGGCCAAGGGTTAGTGAGGTAGGCCTGTTTGACCGGTTGGAACCAGACCGACACGACCGCCTAACCCCATCGAAAGAGAAATAGCCCCAAAGACGGTCATGTAAATGAATAACCCGGCCCTAGTAATAATTAAGATGGGGTCACATGGTATTTTAGGCACAGGACTGACTGCTCGTCTACCTGGGACTGGGCTTGCACCAATCCCGTGCTAAAATTAGCACAGTCCCACGCTATTTTTAGCGCGGGACTGACTGTTCATCAACCGGGGATTGGGCCTGCGCCAATCCCATACTAAAATTAGTACAGTCCCATGCTATTTTTAGCGTGGGACTGACTGTTCAGCTACCTAAGGCTGACTGTTCATATCCCAAGATCGGGACGGGTGTTAAATTTAGCTCAGACCCTGACTATTTTTAGCCCCGGCCCCGACCTTGGGACTGCTGCACTCAGCACCGATCACCTGGCCTCTCCACTATAAAAGAGAGGCCGGTGTCACTCAACGAAAGAAGAAGCCCTCACTTGCGGGAATACGGCAGCGCTGGCAGAACAGCAAGAGAGGAGAGAGACACACAGCTTGGGAGTATTACACGAGCTAAGGAGCGGCGATGTGCCAACGAGAGCGTGAGAAGAGTTGGAGCTATGAGCAAGAGAGGGTCAAACCAAGGCAAGCAAGGGCAGAGGTAAGGAAAGGGAGGGGCAAGGCTGGCAGGGGAAGGTGTCTCGGGAATTCACCTAGTCGCTTGTCACATGCAGCTACTTTTCTTTCTGCCCCTCACTTTCCCTTTCTCTCTCCCTTCTCTTCTCTCTTTCTCTCTCTCGCTCCCCATTGCCTCCTTCTCGTCCACTTACCTCTCATGAGTTATGATCACTTACCTTTGATTCGTTGGCTGACGGGCACCCACATGCCTTAGTGAGCTGCTAAGTCCATCTCTGTGCTCCCTGCACTTGCCCTCTATCACAGACGTCAAAACCCTTAAGACTCCCTAGTCGGCTATGTGTAATGCTGCTGAACTGTGCGCCTGCGCGCACCATGTTTGAGGGCCATATATGAACCGTGCGCCTGCACGCACTAAGTTTGAGAGTCGTATCTGAACTGTGCACCCGCGCGCACCATGCCTGAGGGCCATATAAGAACCGTGCGCCTGCGCGCACTAAGTCTGAGGGTCGTATCTGAACTGTGCGCCGCGCGCACCATGCCTGAGGGCCATGTATGAACTGTGCGCCTACACGCACTATGTCTGAGGGTCGTATCTGAACTGTGCGCTCACGCGCACCATGCTTGAGGACCATATCTGAACTGTGTGCCTGCGCGCACCATGCCTGAGGGCCGTATCTGAACTGTGCCTGAGGATCGTATCTGAACTGTGCACCCACACGCACCATGTCTGAAGATCGTATCTGCCCACTCGCACGCACTATGTTTGAGGGTTGTATCTGAACCGTGCGCCCCTCGCACTATGTCTGGGCGCTGATTCTGAACTCACGCGCACTATACCTGAACTGTGCGCCCTCGCATGCAGTATCCGGAGGCTGCTTTGACCAGTGCGCTGGTGAGCATCCAAACTCAGATGATTGCGAACCAGTGAACTGATACATACTCGATCTCAATTTCAGCTTTGACCAGTGCGCTGGTGCGCATCCAAACTCTGAACTTTGCCCTGACGATTGTGAGCCGATACATATTGAATCTCTAGTGTGCACCCAAACTCTGAATCGTTGCTTTGATGATTGAGAGCCAGTGTGCCCATAGGCACTTGATCTGTGAACTTTGACCAATGTGTCGGTGCCACTTTCATCTGAGAACACAACTTTTGCAGACAACCGATTTTGAGTCCCCAAGTTGTAAACTTGGCAATTAGCCAATTCCGGATCTGAATGTCGGTGTCCGTTTTTTTTCCTGTGCGGGCTTGTCACCTTTGCAGTTGTCTGAGCTTGCGCACATGCGCTCCCCAAGTTTGATATTATTTGAGTGCGCGCCTTTGCGCACCCATGCTAAACATTGTTATTTGAGTGCGCGCCCATGTGCGCCCAGGTCGATTTTGATATCTAAGTGTGTGCCCATGCACATTTGAGCCTGACATAGTTATTTGGATGTGCGCCCACCCGCGCCCATGCTTGGCATCGCTATGTGGGTGCGCGCCCATGCACGCCCATGCCTGGGATTGTTATTTGAGTACGCGCCCACCCACGCTCATGCTCGACATTGATATTTGAGTGCGCGCCCTTGCGCGCCCATGCCTTGTATCACTATCTGAGTGCGCACTCATGCGCGCCCATGGTTCGAATTGCTATTTGAGTGCGCACCTATGCGCGACCGTGCTCAAATTGCTATCTGAGTATGCGCCCATGCGCACCCACACCCGACATTGATATTTGAGTGTGCGCCCATGCGCGCCCACGATCAGAATTGCTATTTGAGTGCGCGCTCATGCGCGCCCAAGCTTGGAACAGCTATTTGAGTGCGCGCCCATGCGCGCCCATGCTAGGTATTACTATTTGAGTGCGTGCCCACGCACGCCCAAGCTTGTCATCATCACATGAGCTTGCGCCTAGGCTCGGTCTTGCCTTTAGGGTGGAGACTTTGTAGATGGATGGACTCTAGAGATTGCTTGGCATCCTACATCTATAGATTTAATACCTTGCTGATCAGCACCATTCCATGCACACGATATTTTTCCTGCACGGGGAGCATTTGCAATTCAGTCCCTGTACAGATGACTTGGCACGGTCCAGCCCCAGTACATTCAAAATTTATGACTGGTCCCTGTGCATGAGACGTTTCATTAAGTTGCTGCTTAGCCGGGCCCATTCAGGCGGGCTCTATACCGAGGAGCCGGGCCCATTCAGGCGGGCCCTATATCGAGTTGCAGTTCAACCAGGCCATTCAGGCGGGCCCTATATCGAGTTGCAGTTCACCCAAGCCATTCAGGCGGGCCCCTACATTGCGCTGGTTGTTGATTACTATTTTCAGACACTGGAGGGACTATATATATTCACAGGAGCGCACCCATTCAGGCGGGCTCTATACCGAGGAGTCGGGCCCATTCAGGCGGGCCCTATATCGAGTTGCAGTTCAGCCAGGCCATTTAGGCGGGCCCTATATCGAGTTGCAGTTCACCCAAGCCATTCAGGCGGGCCCCTACATTGAGCTGGTTGTTGACTACTATTTCCAGACACTGGAGGGAGTCTATATATTCACAGGAGTGCACCCCTCTTCCCTTTGTTCAAACTGGCCCATCATTGTGAGACAGCCCCCACGTGGGGTGAGCTAGGTGAGAAGTTCTGTTATCGATATGTCGAACATCAAAGCTTCATTAACAGGGCCAATGAGTCCCCTATATCGAGGCACACGCTGGTGATTACCTACTTGGTCAAAGGGGGTAGGGAAGGGAGTGAAAGGCACCACGCATGACAGGATAGCAGACTATATATTCCGCAGGGAGAGCTGTTGGAGGGATAACTGGTTACATGTGGTGTTTCCTCGCGTTCCTTCAGCACCAGGGGGCGTACTCTTTGACTTTGATGGGTGTAATCCCAAACCTCTCAGCGAGGCTCGCAGCAAGGGGAAGAGGCGGAAAGACAAGCGGATCAGGAGAGATAGCCAGATCCGGTCCCAATCACTACTTGCGTACAGAGATCTGAGACGGACGAGTCTGACCTGGAGCCTTGCTGCGTGAGTGACGTTGACCTAGGAGATCACTTCGACTGGGACACTCACAGAGGCTGAGTCTTGCTTGCAGAGACTAGAGCACTGGAGACTGACAAGTGACAACGGCGGAGAGCAACATTGAGGAGGATTGCGTATCTTCTTGCACGGTATCTGCTCGAGGGCGATTGACTCCTACATGTCAGACGACCCTAGGACCGAGGCAATTGTTGGTCCCCCAAGAGGGGAAGGTCCAGTTCCATATCTCGGAGATGGCTATAGTCATTTGGTCGGGGCTGACTTTGCTATACAGGCTTATCGAAAGCCTCTCTACGGAGACCGTTTCCTCGAGGTTTCATACGTCTACATCGACCGGAAGGGACGGATTGAGATATTGATTAGAGCTACAACTGTGATTACCCTTGCAGAGGAGCTTTACCTCAGGAGCGTTGCAGATGAGGAGATGGCTAGGTGCATGGAGTACATCAACAAGATCGATCCTGCAGCACCCATGGATATCAACTACGTGGTCCCAGAGTCAACAGCAACCAGGGTTCCCAATGGCGAGGGGGATCAGCGCGTGCTAGACATGGAGTCTCGGACAGACGAGCCCACTCACGAGGGGGTACCGCTTATCATTATTGATTAGGACTCTCCTTCTAGTCACTATGATGTACCATGACATTATTATGATTTATTAGTGACTGCAGTCCTCCAATGGCTGCACCCTGCATCCCTTGTGTACTACTTTCAGTCTCGTATCTTTGGTCATGCTCTTGTAGAGTCTGGTTTCTGGTCTTTTCGTCCTCTCAGTGTCATTTATTTTATGATGCATGTCCTGTAATGTATGAAATGTTTTATGCATGAGATGATATGCTCCTTATTGTATAGGTTACGCTCAAGGCTACTTAAAGGATTCCTGGATAATAAGAACTCTGGTGACCCTGAATCTAACCTTTATATGTGGTCAGGTGCACGCGATAAAACCGAACGCCTCACTCTAAGTCGTGTCGCCATTGGTAGGAGGGATAATCCTGACTACTCGACTGTGTGACAAAGGCTGCTTGTGAATGCACTTCTACACCATCCTTAAAACTTACCAAAATCCTGCGTGACAGCCCGCCAGTCCACCAACCCACTGCACTCAGCCACGGAAGGACATCGGACCAAGCCC